ACAACTCAAAACTTATCAGACTCCACACGCTGATTGGTCTTGTAGATCATTACGTGGTAAATCGCGATAGTAGTCAACACATACTGGCTCGTGCAGACGGGATCGTGAGAAATTAAAAGAACCTCACACTGAAACACAAGTCAGTGGTGAAACGCTTTAAAGTTGTGTACAACAAGCAGGTCCTGTTGTCTGACTTTTCAACACTTCCTTATGGGTACTAAAGATGTCCATGACTATCGTGGGGTGCGAGAGGTTGACAGGTTTGATTTTAGATTACAACATCCTTGTTCATGTGTAATAAGTGGTCCATCAAATTCTGGAAAAACATATTTTGTAAAACAGCTGATTGAACGTGCTGATGAGTTGATTTCAAAGGAAATCGAAAACATAGTGTGCGTTTATGATTGCTGGCAGCTGCTTCATGATGAAATGCAAAACATAAGAAACATTCATTTTGTTCAAGGGATACCAACAACCCTAAATGATGACACACATCTACCGCTTAACAGAAATCATTTGTTGATTATTGATGTTATGAAAGATGCTAGCAATAATGCTGAGGTAGAAAAAGTATTTACACAGTACGTACACCATCGAAACTGAAGCGCCATTTACCTAATACTAAATTTGTTTTTTTTCAAGGAAAATCTAGTAGGATCATTAGTTTGAACACAAATGACCTCATATTATTTAAAAATCCTAGTGACCACAATCAGGTCGGTGTGTTAGCTAGACAAATGTACTCCGGTAATGCAGAGTTGTTCATGGAGTGTTTTCAAAATGCTGCAAGAGATCCATTTGGCTACCTCATGATTGATTATAAAGCAAAGACTCCTGAAGAATTTCATCTCAGAACGGATCCGCTTTCAAACAGACCTGTTTACATTCAGAAAAAACGCAGATGGGTCAATATGTCAGACAGACTATGTAGAAACTGGTCAATTCCATTTAAACTTCTATTTAAAGCTAATCCTGCGCAGAGACGTGTTATTTTACAAATGGAGTCTAATGATCTCATCTTAACTCTGTGTGAAATCGCTTTCAATGTGCTTAATGGGACTATAGCTCTCACACCGACGCAGTATTGCATGTTAAAGAAGAAGAAGTCTGAAATAATTTTTTTTTGCAGATAAAAAGGTTGGTGCATCCCGAAAGAAGAAAGCTACTATCAGAAAGGAGGGGTTTTCCTCTTCCATTGTTGAGTGTTACGCTACCATTCAGAACAAGTTTGATAACTGTCAAATAAACTGAAAGATATGGAGAATGCTGAAAAAATGGTTTTGGTACCACAACCCCAGTTGGATAAGTTAAAGAGTGATAATCGGCGGGAGTCGATCAGACAAGTTGTAGAAAATGACCTGGACGTGTCTATATGAAATATTTTGAGCAGGAATGATCTTGATGCCCATGAGAAGGCCAAGCTGTACGCCGTTGTTTTGCAAAGATATTTAACCATTGCTAAACAGGGCGATATGGAGACCAGCACTTTAACACTGTCATTACCTCTGACAGACAATGTTAATAATAAGGAAACATATGTTCAGACTGATGACAGAAATGATGTAATCAGTGCTGTTCTCAGAAATGTACCCTCTCGAAGCAAGAAGAATGTTGAGTATGTTTTAGATTAAATGTCTAAGTCAAAAGACGCATCTTCTTGGAACGAATCAGGAGAATTTGTTTTAAATGGACAACCAATCGCCGGGTCACATATTCTGGACTGGGTGAAAAGTATCACAGCACCGCACAGGGTTAGCGACGATCGTAGACCTCTGGGGTGGGCTGGGTTTCTAGAGGCCTTTGCTGTTTTGAATATACCACTTTCATTAAAAGTCTGATGATTATGCTGCTCCTGTGAAAGACGTTTCACAAACCCCCGCTAGCAGTGCTGAAACCCCCATGTTTATCTCACCCACTATAGACAGAAGAACATGGTTAGACTTCTAATGTTGGCTTTGTTTATTTTGTTTTATACATATATTTACATATTTATGTACATACATGTATATTGTTCTTTTTATCATGGCTATGTAAATATTTGTTTCACATTGTTTGAAAACTGTCATCTACTGTTTACTGTGAGGTTGATAATATACACTATTGTCTAAGGCGAACTACCGCGCACAGCGTCTGCGACTAACTCACTGGCGTCAGTTAAACAAACTAGGAAGTCGGCTTCTGCTTCTTGTTATACACCAGAAACGCGAGACTCGATCCGAGCTACAGTGATAACGTTCAGACAGGGAAATACTCGATAACTACAACTTCCAATGCAGACCATGTTATAAAGAGTGCAGCTGGAGACTAGAGCTATAGCGTGTAACAGTAGATCGCATAAGAAGTGTACACTCGCTGTACTAGAACATCGATGACAAAACACCCCACAAAGCAACATTAGAAGTCTACCCAGGTTCTTCTGTCTATAGTGGGTGAGATAAACATGGGGGTTTCAGCACTGCTAGCGGGGGTTTGTGAAACGTCTTTCACAGGAGCAGCATAATCATCAGACTTTTAATGAAAGTGGTATATTCAAAACAGCAAAGGCCTCTAGAAACCCAGCCCACCCCAGAGGTCTACGATCGTCGCTAACCCTGTGCGGTGCTGTGATACTTTTCACCCAGTCCAGAATATGTGACCCGGCGATTGGTTGTCCATTTAAAACGAATTCTCCTGATTCGTTCCAAGAAGACGCGTCTTTTGACTTAGACATTTAATCTAAAACATACTCAACATTCTTCTTGCTTCGAGAGGGTACATTTCTGAGAACAGCACTGATTACATCATTTCTGTCATCAGTCTGAACATATGTTTCCTTATTATTAACATTGTCTGTCAGAGGTAATGACAGTGTTAAAGTGCTGGTCTCCATATCGCCCTGTTTAGCAATGGTTAAATATCTTTGCAAAACGACGGCGTACAGCTTGGCCTTCTCATGGGCATCAAGATCATTCCTGCTCAAAATATTTCATATAGACACGTCCAGGTCATTTTCTACAACTTGTCTGATCGACTCCCGCCGATTATCACTCTTTAACTTATCCAACTGGTGTTGTGGTACTAAAAGCATTTTTTCAGCATTCTCCATATCTTTCAATTCATTTGGCAGTTATCAAACTTGTTCTAAATGGTAGCGCAACACTCAACAATGGAAGAGGAAAACCCCTCCTTTCTGATAGAAGCTTTCTTCTTTCGGGATGCACCAACCTTTTTATCTGCAAAAAAAATTTATTTCAGACTTCTTCTTCTTTGACATGCAATACTGCGTCGGTGTGAGAGCTATAGTCCCATTAAGCACATTGAAAGCGATTTCACACAGAGTTAAGATGAGATCATTAGACTCCATTTGTAAAATAACACGTCTCTGCGCAGGATTAGCTTTAAATAGAGGTTTAAACAGAAGTGACCGGTTTCTACATAGTCTGTCTGACATATTGACCCATCTGCGTTTTTTCTGAATGTAAACAGGTCTGTTTGAAAGCGGATCCGTTCTGAGATGAAATTCTTCAGGAGTCTTTGCTTTATAATCAATCATGAGGTAGCCGAATGGATCTCTTACAGCATTTTGAAAACACTCCATGAACAACTCTGCATTACTGGGGTACATTTGTCTAGCTAACACACCGACCTGATTGTGGTCTCTAGGATTTTTAAATAATATGAGGTCATTCGTGTTCAAACTAATGGTCCTACTAGATTTTCCTTGAAAAAACAAATTTAGTATTAGGTAAATGGGGCTTCAGTTTCGATGGTGTACGTACTGTGTAAATACCTTTTCTACCTCAGCATTATTGCTAGTATCTTTCATAACATCATCAATAATCAACAAATGATTTCTGTTAAGCGGTAGATGTGTGTCATCATTTAGGGTTGTTGGGAGGACTTGAACAAAATGAATGTTTCTTATTTTTTGCATTTCATCATGAAGCAGCTGCCAGCAATCATAAACGTACACTATGTTTTCGATTTCCTTTGAAATCAACTCATCAGCACGTTCAATCAACTGTTTTACAAAATATGTTTTTCCAGAATTTGATGGACCACTTATTACACATGAACAAGGATGTTGTAATCTAAAATCAAACCTGTCAACCTCTCGCACCCCACGATAGTCATGGACATCTTTAGTACCCATAAGGAAGTGTTGGAAAGTCAGACAACAGGACCTGCTTGTTGTACACAACTTTAAAGCGTTTCACCACTGACTTGTGTTTCAGTGTGAGGTTCTTTTTATTTCTCACGATCCCGTCTGCACGAGCCAGTATGTGTGGATTACTATCGCGATTTACCACGTAATGATCTACAAGACCAATCAGCGTGTGGAGTCTGATAAGTTTTGAGTTGTCAGAATTCAGGGTGATACCTTTGGCTTTCATGCACGTTTTACCAGTCGCTGTACGATAACCGTATGTTTTAGGCCCCCCGAGCAGAACTCTGCAATGTAATCACCACCAATCTCATCTGTCAAATCACCTAAGTAGGGGCCGAGAGGAGGTTCCCAGTCGCCTTCACGGGAAACAAAAATAACACTGTCAGTGTCGCTATACAACAGTCTGTCACCTAATCTGTCCATCAGATTGTCCAGTTCTAAACGTGTGTGAGCTGTTGTAAAAGCACCGAGAAACATGTTAATGTCACGAGTTGGACAATAGTCACCATCAGAATAACACCGCTGAATCAGCGCCGTAGCGTCCGACACAAATGAAAAGTGTTTAACATCATATCCGTCACCAAAGATGTTTTGTGAAAACTGTTCAGGGTCTGTCAACAACTCAGACGCTGGCAAGTTTTCCCTGATTGAAAAACGACCCCACAAACTGTTTAACAGCAATTTGTTAATAGACCTGCGTGCTGCGTTAAGGCTTATCTTCTCAGACTCATCTGAATCTTTTCCTTTTCAAAATAATCCCTGATGTGTTTTGTCTTCTCTTCTTCTGTGACAGCAGGCGCTGGATAACTGCTTGCTTCCTGTTTGTACTGTAAAAATGTCTTGACATACTCACAGAACAAAGTCTCTGAACTGTCTGGGAAACGCCACACCTCATGGATTTTAGCAATCACAAACCCTTTCTCAACAGCCTTCAGTAACTCAATACTGACCCATGTCCCTGTGATGGACCTGTCGTCGTCATTGTGCACTCGCTCTGATTGTTGATTTTCCTGCTCTGCACATGTACGGCAGAGCGGGAACATTAATTTACCATTACAACGATACGGTAAAACAGGGTGTAGAGGTTTTCTAGGTGGATGCACAGTAGCCTTGACAAGTCCGTAGTATTCCACAATGGGTCTGAAATTTTTGAAGATTATTTGAGGGGTCCTACGGGGGATTTCTTCCTAGCCTGACAGAATGGGTACAAACTGGTGAAGTCCAAATGTCAGATTTTCTCACAGTCTTTTGCTTTTGTAGTACAGTTTGTAAGCATTAGTTCTACCCCCAAAGAGTGCGTCTCTTTCAGGTGCTGTGTACGTAGAATGCTACAACATCCAAATCATTTCTCTTAGCATCGGCCCACTGGCATTCCCACATTACTTCAACCTCCAGACCACATGCACGAACAAGTGTCTCTACCTTGCCGTCAAACTGTTTTCGCAATTCGCCGTACAACACCTTTGACATAGGATGGGTCTGGTTTGGGTTGTAACGACATTCATGACCATGATGCATGCAGCCATTAAATACTAAGGCTTTTCATACACCACCCTTTTCATAATACCCATCCATATAATACGCACCAAGCTTCATTTCCCCATGAGTTAGGGCATGATGAACGTCAGCGTCTCTTGTACTCTTAAACTCGAGCCGTTCAGTGGAAACATATGAGAATGTCTTGTGTTGGTTAATGTACGTGTTGTTATGTGTATCTCTAGGAAGAAGATGTGTTTTGTACACCGCCGTGCAACACGAGGCTGAAGTTGTGATATTAAACGGGTCCTGCTTTGTACCCTGAATGAACCCATCGCCATATTTAATACATGCTTCTCGTAGTAAAACAACATCGTTTCTACCGTAAACATACAACTCCTTTTTGAAGTCAAACACGCCGCCAGAGACTGTGCTGTACCACTCATCGAACAACTTGCTGTCTTTGTCATTCATTGTGTCATAGCCGTAAAAGCTCTTGTCTGGGTATGGGCCCACATAGTTTTCACTTTGTTTCAGATTAGATTTGTGTGGAAAATACCCTTTCTCTGAACATGACAGATTTAATGCTGACACCGTTTTGGCTAAACGCATTGGGATGAATGAGTACGAGTCTATGTAGCGCTGTTTGTACGTTTCGTCATACATAGAGATCAGTCTACACCCCATCACTGTGATCTTGACAGCAATCCCCACTTTAGAAAAATATTCCAGCAATAGGAAATTGTCAAAACCAGCTGCGTTGTGTGCCAACCATGTGTAACCCTGATACTTGGGCCGTCTAAACTCTTTGATGAGTAGTTCTACACAGTCAGACCCTTCTGCTGTGAACTCTCTGCCATCAAATGTAATTGCCCAGACAAAATTAGCCTCATGCTTGCCTTTTTTATATCGACTTTCAAAGTCAAAAAAGATGTACGAATTGCTGGGCTCCTGTAATTTGATGGGCTGTATGTAACATTCATGTGTGGTGTCTGATATTAATTCTTCACCGCAATGAACTCAACATCCAGAAGCACATCTGTGGGGTTTGGGCTTTGTTACACACTTTGTTATTTGGTCCGGTAACCACTGTTTCATCCACCTTTTCTGAAAAGCTGTTCTCGTTCCAAGTGTCCAACAACTCATCAGACCATCCAGCGATGTCCAGATCAGGATCAACAGCCCTCTGTACACATTCACCATACATCGGTCAGACACTGGCGTGCAAATCTCCAAAAGTTTAAGAAAAACATTACACACAACTGCTAATGTTGGTTTAATGCGGTGAATAGACACCACTTATTTTTCTTACCTACAGATTTGTGGTCATCATCAAACCTAAGGTGCTTTCCATGTGAAACCGTCTTGTCATTTGCACTCAGACATTTCCTTGGATGTTTCCCGCGTAAAGCTGGATTATCGTCAGTCACACGGTCCCGTGATGCTTCAGGGCTACTTGTCGAACTGGGCCTAAACGCTGGTGATCTAGACGTGATTTCGTCTACCATGCCACCTGGTTCACACCCCGCAGAAGTACTGGGTACAGCATCAAATCCGGGTGATGTTAAGAGCCCCCTTGTTTCAACCAAAAGGGTTAAACCTACTACAGAAAATATATGAATTAGTATTAACCCCTCAACAACTAACACAGACAACACTATAACACAACCGCTGACTCACCAAGAGGATTCTCATAATCCAACGTATTTGCAGATTCTGTAACGCCAGAAATGTATGCATTATTTAGATGAACATCAACAACTACAAATAATGAAAAAAATAAATAAATAACGATGACAAAAACTTACCAAGTTGAGACAATCCCTCACTGCTTCTAATAGCAAAGACTGTTTCAAGCTCAGATGCACCTTGACCAAGAAGTCCTTTTAAGCAAAAAGTTCAAACACTGTTGAAATACTTGCAAAATTTACTTACAAGAAATTTGGGTAAAGTCTGTAGAACACAGACTTACCAAGAACGTAGGCTATGTTGCTTCAAACTGAAAGGTCGCTGGTGAAAATGTGTTACTTTCGGTCGGCTATATATGCCATTTTCTCAAGACACGCCCATGCCGTCGCATGTTGCAGTCCTTTGTGTTTGATTGGCCCGTGCTGATAGGCGTGATTACCGCATCATGACCACAAAATCGCCCCCCCCACCTTGAAATTTAAATCCACAATCTGAAATGAAACCTTTAAAATGCCTTACATTAAACATTTTGAGATCACCCACTACCAATGTCTCCAGACGGTTAGTCTAGCGATACAGGAAACTTACTCACATCAAACAATTATGTGAAAGCTACCAGACGTCTTTGACACATGGCTAGAGACACACTTTTGGGGGGTGGTGGTGGGGACACAGACACCTTGTCAATCATATTGGCCTGTCAATCATAGGGGGTCATAAATCATGGGGCATAAATCACTCAGGGTGGGGGGTCATAAATCACTCGTTCATACTACTCTTGCGTTTGTGGAGGCAGTGAGGAACTTTGTTCACAGACAGTGGTTTTCAGAAGTGTTTCTGAGCCCATGCAGTGATTCCTGTCAGCCAATAATGGTTTTCAGCCTTGTACTTAGCACACAGAGGCTTTTCTGGATTCTCTGAATCTTTAATGACACAATGTTCCATAGATGATGAATCTCCGAGTTCTTTGCTATTGTACATTGAGAAATGTTATTCTTGTCCTGTTGCCCGTGTCTTTCACAGAGTGGTCAGCATCTTTACTCCCCACCTCTCTGAGAAGCTCTTTTTATACCCATTTATTATCACTGACCTGCTGCAAATAAAACCAATTATTTGTGAGATGTTCCACCAGGTGTTTTTTAGCATCACACAATATTGAGCAGTCTTTTGTTGCCGCTCTTCCAGCTATTTTGAAATGTGTTGATGGCATCAGATTCAAAACGGCCTCAGTTTCTCAGTTTCGTTAGAGTGACGTCTTTGTACTACTTTCAATTAAATATAGGGTTTAAATGATTTGCACATCATTACATTCTGTTTTTATTTGTATTTCACACAGCGTTCCCACTTTTTTGGAAATGTGGTTGTATATCTACCTTCAAGAAATGTTCAAGACAAATAATAAATATCACAGTATTTTGTTTTTTGGGGATTTGTTAAGTCGGAACAGACCAAAGTCCCAGCAGTGCCAGATATAAACAGTGACTTTTATTCAATATTTCACATATTAGACTGAACTAAATCCAGTTAAACATGACTAATTACACTCTTTCTAGTCAAAATTCAGTCGTTCTGTTCTGTAAGCACTGATAATCTCCGCACAACTGAACTCACAGACATCAACAGCTTTTGCATAGAACGGTAAATCAAACCAGCGTACTCTGATGTGTAAATGCGTACAGGTGGGCAGGTCTGTAGTTACAGGTTGTAAGTTGCATGCAACATAATTTCTTTGTGACTTGACAGTTAAATTAAGTAAACAACAAAGTTGAATGCAACATATTTACTCCACTAGTTAAATGTTCTCTTTTATATCTATATGTCCATCTTTGTTTAGGGATCTGAGGTTCTTTCCTCTACATTATGTAATCAAGTGAAATCAAATGTATAAATTGTTGTTTGACATGATCATGTGGTGCGTTATCATGTCAAATCAGATGTACAGCTGATGAAAATGAACAAAGGCATGTGATGGCTGGAAAGCAGCGAGAAGTAATGAACAGTTTTGAAAACAGTTCTTTTTAATTTTTACTGTATTTATGTTTGTGTATTTATTACAGTGTAACAAAGTGTTGTACAGTCAAAGCACATTAACTGCCAAAACAAACAGCTTAAAGCAGTTTTCCTAATACATTTGTATTGAGCTGTAGGTGACTGGGAAATGAACCCCTTACTAAGCCAAAGCTTTATTACACACTTGTACAACCCAAGAAAAGCCCCATTAGTGTGCATTGAAGTCTCTAAAGTCACTGAATAATAAGCCTTAGTATGTAATAAGCTTCAAATGTTAAGATGTTGAGAAAAAATCTCTTATAATTTAACACACAAACGCCATTTTTACATTTATTCACATTTATTTAACTGCAGCACCTACAGAGTTGAATGTTGTCTTTATGACATCATAACACTGTGATGTCACAATGTCTATGATGCAGATAAATTCCACACAAACTGCCACTTCAGATCATTCTGTGTTGAGGCGCCAGAGAAGACCAGCAGCACAATGAGCTGCCTCTTGTTCTGGTGTTGCGGAGGCCAACAGTCCGACTCAGACACAGAGAATAAGGCGAATGGAGATGAAGTGAAGAAAGACGGAGGCAAAATCAAGAAGAAGAAACAGTGGAGAACAAGAAAAACGAAGGGACAACAGAGAAAAGAAAAGATAAAGGATGTAGAAAAAGCAGAGGAAAGCCAAGCAAGACAACAGCCAGCAGCGGGAGAGGAGGAGAGCCATGCTCCACACGTCCCAGCAGGTCTGGTGTCTCTCAGCTTGGAGACTATTTCCTTTGTGATGTTGGAGAAGACGGGAGCTCCTCTACATGAGGACCTTAAAACCAGCGAAGACATTCCTGAATCCAGCAGGGATTTAACGGAATATTCACTGGATCAGACTGAGGCTGAAGCCGAGGCCGAAGCCATAAAACCACTAATGTCCACTGACCTGGATGAGAAAGACACAGCTAACATCCAACCTCTGGGTAAGAAATGGACATTAATATCTGCCAAAATAGAAAACAGAACTAATAACAGGAATAAAAACCACTGATAATAATGCTCAGATGAATTAGTCCAGCTCTGACCACCAAACATCCACATAAACATGCAATTATCAATATCACTAAAGTTCCACAACTACTATCAATATATTTCATAAAACAACCCTTCAAAATGGAAAATCATTAAGTCATTAATAGTCATTAATAACTGATATGAAAATGTCAAAGCTGGAGATCTGACAGTATCTATTCCTGTGAAAACAGAGAGTGAGAAGTTGAACATGACGGCTGCTGAAGTCGAGGCCGAGGCCATCCAGGAGCTGATGGACATTCATCTGGATGAGACTGAGGAAATGGTGGAGAAACATCTGGGTAAGTTCAGGAACTGAGCTGATGGTGTGATGATAAAACAGCAGAACCGCTGATATTCTATTAATATAAAAGCAGGACTTAATAAGAAAACTAATAAGCAGAGGTCATTAAAGACTGAATGGACACTGACCTTCAGGACACAGAGACCAAAAATCTGGGTTAGAAATGACCATAACAAGCTACCAATCACAGAGATCTCACTGTAAAAATATTAATTCATAAAGATATACTGCAATATATTTGTTCATATTTCTAAAATAAAGTTATTCACATGGTTATTGATCTTGATTATTGTGATATTTATTGATGTTAAAGCAGGAGACGAGATGTTTGAGGCGACCCTCACTGACGCTGAGGTTGAAGCCGTTAAACAGCTGATGCTCCTTTTCGTCGACAGGATCGAGGCGGAATCGATGGGTAAGAAATAAAAATTAATAACACATAATAAACACAAAATGATATACTGAATAATAAATGCTTAATAAAACTATTAACATGAAGTTCAAGACACGTCTATTATAGAAAGGCATTCACAGATTCCTTCACTTTAGCTTCACTATTGAGAAGTAATACTAACTGTTGGTGACGTTTCATCAAGAATTCAGAGAAAACTGTCTCACTTTTTCTTTGAATTAGGATGTGAAGTGATGGATGTTACAGACACTGAGCCTGAAGCCCCGACGCTCACCATGCAGGCTTATTTGGATGAAGTGGACACACCTGATGACCGTCCTCTGGGTGAGTAGTGCAGATTAACACTAGATATCATGAAGAAAATCACAGTTGAACTCTTAAAATGTGAAAATGACATTTTTCTCTTTTTTGTAAGAGCAAAAGCTGAAAATATTTCATGATAAAACAAGAAAACATGACATGAAGGTGGATGTTGAACCTCTGACTGAAGGTACTAAACATCCAACACACATAACAAACTTTAGAGTCCTGAGTGCTGAACCACTGAGAGAGTCAGATCAAAGACATACAGATCAGCGACTGAGGACCAGCACTACAGCAGAAACACTGAACTCTCTGAATCTGTAAACTCTGAGCTCCAGGTGAGATTATACTGGGGAAACGCTCGGCTCTTCATTTCTGTAATTGTGGATATTTAATTCATGTTACAGTAGAAGAGGAGATCCTTGAGGTGATGGACACAGACGGTGAAGCTGAGGGGATAAAAGAACAAATGGACACTGACCTTCAGGACACAGAGACCGACAATCTGGGTAAGAACGAAAACCATAACAAGATAAAAATATTAATCAATGATGATAATAATAATAATAATAATAATTATTATTATTATTATTATTATTATTATTACTATTGTTATTATTATTATTATTATTATTATAACAAGATAATTGTTCATACATCTAAAAAAAAGCTGTTTATATGGTTATTGGTTATGGTATTTTAATTATTGTGATATTTATTTATGTTAAAGCAGGAGACGAGATGTTTGAGGCGACCCTCACTGACGCTGAGGTTGAAGCCGTTAAACAGCTAATGCTCCTTTTCGTCGACAGGATCGAGGCGGAATCGCTGGGTAAGAAATACAAATTAATAATACATAATAAACCCAAAATGACACTGATTTAAAAAAAATATTGATTTATAAAAGTATACTGAATAATAAATGCTTAATAAAACTATTCACCTGACATTCAAGACACTTGTAGTATTACAGTCCTCCAGCGCTAAAGAAAGGCATCAGCTCATTCACTGATTCCTTCACTTTACCATCACTATTATATTATAGAGCAGTAATATTAGCTTTTGGGGATGTTTAATCAAGAATTTATAGAAAATTCTGTTCCTGTTTCTTTGAATCAGGATGTGAAGTGATGAGCTCTGCAGATACTGAGGCTGAAGCTTCTGGACTCAACATTCAGACTCACCTGGATGAAACTGACCCATCTAATGACCATCGTCTGGGTGAGTAGAGCAAATAAACACTAGTTATCATGAAGAAAATCACAGTTAAACTGTTAAAAAGGTAAAACAGGATTTAATATAACAATATCAGCTCCTCCTCCTCCAACCACCATCTTCAGCTTTCATCAACTAATAATACATAATATTGCATACATAATACCAAATATTTGACTTACATCAGGATTTAATGAGTGATTCTGTCTCCTGCATGAAAAGATGTGGAAAAGACGTCTGATGAAGAAGCAGATTGGAAGACCATTGAAAGTCTGATGGCAGATCTACTGAATGATGTCCAGAGATCAGTTGACCACAGTCTTGGTGAGTAAAATAAAAACATATATTGAGGACATAAGAAGCTGTACAGCTGCTAATTCTTTCAACATCTGAAGCAGGAAATGAGATTCACAAGGAGGCTGATGAAGAAGTCAAGGCTGATGACCTTAAACTGATGGACGTTCAGCTGGATGAGGCAGAGACTACTGTCCAACAGGCTCTTGGTGAGTAATAGAAACCATAATTTATTAAGAATGGAGCAGTTAAACTCTGACTAAGAAACCAAAAGACCATCTTCAAATGTCACAAGAACCTTCAAAAACTGAAATAATCAAATCTCTTTTTACTGGAAAATCCGTTTTATTGCAGGAAAAGATGTGGAAATGACGGCTGATCCCGAACCCATTAAAAGCTGGGCTGATATTGTGGATGAGACTGAAAGAAACATCAACCAGTCTGGTGAGTAAAATGTCCAGATGGCACTGATCTGATACGGGTGTCTGTGTTTGTAATTAAACAAACATGTTAACAACTTTCATCGTTTAAATATTAGTCAGAAAGTCTTTGTTCCAGGTTAGATTATTGGAGATGAGCTTTGTTGCTGATGTCTCTGATTTTTCTCTACCAGCTGAAATAGAAGACCTGAAGAAAGACGCTCCTGTGAATGAGACCAAAACAGACCAACATCAGAAGAACACCAGGAGAGGAACACGCGGCAAGGGTCGAACAATAAACTATATAAAGGACAAAGAAGAGAGACAAAATGAAGGACATGAAGAGGAGAACAGCAGAAGAACATCAGACAGAGGCATCCGAGTGGGAGCTGCAGGCCAGAGACATCAACTAGGATATGGAATGAGAAGACGACAGTCTGAGAACATAGGAACCTGTGGAAGAGCACCGGAAACTGTTCCTCATCAGCAGAGGAGGGGACAGAGAAATCATTGGACACGAGAACATCTGCAGAAGAGTCTGCAAGCCCCTCCTGAGGAGAAGAGTGCTCCACAGAAAGACATCAGAAAGAAGGGAGAACATCTGAGAACATCTAGACCAGCAGACAACCAGAGAGACAGAGGAGCCCATTCAGTCAGACAGAGAATGGATGAGTCTCACTGGAGAGGAGCTGCCCAGTGCTGGCAGAGAGAGCACAGAGTCCAGAGGAGTGACGCTCCACAACCTCCTTCACACAACGGAGGACGTGTGAGCGAAAGAGGAAGGAGAGGACATCCCGCTCAGCCTGCACCTTCACGCACTGACAGAAATGACCGGACCGTGAGAAAACCGCACTGGTGGCAGCACGATGACCGCTCTGTAGAGTCTGATGACGGACAGACTGGAGAGAGACACCACCATAAGAAATATAGGAATGAGAACAGGCAGTGGAAGAGTGGAAGAAGAACCAACACTTCATACTGACTACTGAAAAAAACCTTTAGAGCAGCCTGAGAAGTAAGTCAGTGGAGACAACAACAAGAATTTGGAAAAAGGAGAACACAGTCAGAGAACGCAGGAACCTGTGAAAGAGCACCTAAATCTGATCCTCAACAGTAGAGGAGGGCACAGAGAAAGGAGGAGAGGAGAGAAATATGTTATCTGAAAGCAGGACATCTGCAGAAGCATCACCAAAGCCCTCCTGAGGAAAAGAGTGCTCCACAGAAAGACTGCAGAAAGATCAGAGAACAAGCAGATGGAAAGAGGAGAACTCGGCTAGAGAACTCCCGAACCTGTGAAAGAGCACCTGATCCTCATCAGCAGAGAAGGGCTCAGAGAAAAGAGGAGAGGAGAGAGTTGCTCCACTGGAAAGAAGATCATCAACAGAAGACTCTGCAAACCCCTCCTGAGGAAAAGAGTGCTCCACAGAAGAATACAGACTATTAACTCCACTCTTATGCTACAGCCAATCAAATCCATCTCTTAAACAGCGATCCCACCGGAGAGAAACCAGCAGAACAACACCTTTAAACCTCTAACACCAATAAAAGACTTGCCGCTCTCCCTGTTGGAGCCTCTTTTATTCACTCTGGGATCCTCTACACTCCTGTGTTTGCTGATAAGGGTGGGCAATATGACAATATTTAGCATTATTGTGAAAAAATTATGTCACATTATGTCACAAAATATTCTTCTAAGTTGTGTTGGGAGCTGTTTTTATTTTCTAGTTTTCTGTTTTACTTTATTATTGTTTATTGTTTAGAGAAGTCAACTGTGTTCCATCCAAATGGCCTTAAAAACAACCCCTAAGGATGATTTGGCCTTCTGGGACAGAACACTCAGTTCACGACACTGAGGCATTTACAGTAGTATCTGAGTCCCTGAGAAAGCCGACTCCAACAGGATCTAAGGCTCTGAGAACACTGACTTCTGCTTATGATATTACCAAGGGTCCTCGGGGGGAGTGGTTGGTGGGGAGTCAATGGGAAAGTATAAAAGCTATGTCTGAGCTTCTGTTCAGACTGGGTGAAGATGGGCAGAGATGGCAGAGAACATAACACTCTTTTCTGTGAACTCTGGTCTCCTGAATATCTTCCATAGCAAGATCAAAGATTTCCATCAATGGCGACGAGGATGGGGTCAGGTCCATCTCCTTTTTTGACTGCAGCAAGAGCTTTAATGCCAAACAGAAGAGGTGCAGTTTATGTTTTGTCTTGTGTTTTGTGTTTTGGTCAGTGACTGTAAGTAAGACATAGAGGTCCTATCGACTTTGGGTTCTGTAATAGTTGGTTGTGAGGAGTCAGCACGACAGCATTTGTTGTTCTGTCATTATGGAGGTAGTTCATGGGTTATTTCTGTGGGACTAGGCTCCCGAGTTAAAAGTGCAGGAGTTTTTCCTGTTTACCCAAAGGTGTGGGGGTTTCCCAGTCTAAGATTACATTTACAGTTGAATCTCAGCCTTTCATGTACGCTGATAAAGATGCATTTGAGGACTTATTACAGATGTTAGATAAAGTGTGTTCAAAGAAAAAGGAGAAATTGTGTAAGAAGTATGGGCTTCCAGCAGAACCAGGATGGAGTCAGGAACAATGTTTTATGGTTCTGAGCAACTGTGTAAAGAAAAGGGACCTTGAGGGGTGTGTTCACGTCTTTAGACAGTGGCATGGCGTTCTAAGAACAGAGCACCAACAGCACACAGAACAAGCTCAACACTCTATCAGGGTCCTGCAAAGGTTGAATCATTTGAAAAACACAAAGATGCCTTGCTGATCCAGGTAAAGTCAAAGAAATGAAAGTGAACCCCTCCCATGTGGAGGAGCATCTCCTTCTAGGGGCAGTGAAGACAGTTCTGATCAAGCTGGTCTTCATCTGTTATAGAAACAGCTACAGGAGTTGCTGAAGGAGAAAAGTCAAAGACAGATGGAGAAGAGTTCAGTCAGTATTCTCAGAGCACGGCTGAAACAGTTTTACTGAATGAGGGCTTCTGTGCATCTACTGAGGACATGATGAGCAGTTAAGGTTTTGCTCCAATAGCTGAGACTTCACAAACTGGGGTCGCCCAGCTGCTCAGCACTGCTGTGGAACAGGGAGTCAGCAAACAGGGAACACATGAGAATGCATGACACTACTGTGGTAAAATGAGTCCTTGCACATGCAGAAAGAAGTTTTAGGCAATGAGTAAAGTGAGTTTAGGGAGTCCAGCTCCATGGGTGGGTCTGTCATCCCCAAGGTGGCAGGTAAGCTGTTAAAGCTAATCCAACGCAACTCAACTTTCTGCTCCTCCCACAGAGGAGGAACAATTAAACTGACCATACCTTCTGTGGGAGCATCTTTATAGCCAATTACACACAATCAGGACAGTAGATGGTGGGTAAAAACTACTGTGATTCATATTAAACCAGCTATTCAGTAATTTTATCCATGGTTAAAAGTGTAGCTGTTTAAGGCTGCTGCACTGGGTTCTGTGTAACCTAGAGGAGCCTTAAATAGTTTTCAGGTTTTATGGCTGCAGGACCATGGTCATGATATTAGTTCAGCTCATGTAGGTGTAATTACTGCCAGGGAAGTGGCGGTTGGCTTTGCCCTCACAGTTTCTAAAAGTTTTATAATTTGACTTGAAAAAAGAGTTTGAATCCTCATCATTACTGATGGCAGTAATGTCTGATTCTCAAGATGGGGCCGTTCAATAATGCCAGGTAGTTAAATGTTATAAATTGGTGAAGTCAATCAGCTGTTTCATGGCCAGAGACCTATTACTTCACTTTCAGCTCAGCAAAACAGAGGAAATTAGTTGACAGTTAGCATTATACCACCTCAGAATCTAAGCGTGCCCAGAACAGTCACCCTACTGAGTCTGAGAAGTCCAGCCTGGTCCCGGAAAACCTCGGAACTGCCTCCGCAGTGCTGCCACATGACCTACTGCTCCACTCATTCCACCCAGCACCTGGGAAGTGGGAAACCCTCTTCCTCCAAACATCTGCCTGCCCCTCTGCTGTGGTGAAGCTGCACCACACTTGAGTGTGTCCAGATCCACCTAAGCTCTGGTTCAGTACCATCCAGAAGGCTGTGGTTTTTGCTTTCATACACTCAGGTTTTGGCACTGTTTGATTTAATAGGTTTAAACCCCTTTTATAGATATACATACATATCATTGCTGTCAGAACAAAACCTTGTATCTCCATTTTTGTCGTTTTTCAGTTTTTGTCATGATTTGAAAATGCCTGTTGTCCTATATATTGTGTGTAAATTTCATTTTGAATGGACCAAAGAAATGGCCTAAAATTATTTAAAATGTCTGGTTCCATTGACTTGCATTGAAAGTAGAGTATGTTTTTTCCTTCACCTGTAAAGTTCTCATATTGGAGATATGAGGTTTTGTTCCGAAAGCAGCAATACATACACATATGTCTATACATACGTTAGCTCACTTTAGGCTTCCCTTACCTTTATGCATGAAGATTACTGAGTTGCCCCTCCCCAAAGGAAGCCTTAGTGTTTAATACCATTCCAGTGGTTGATTACATTATTATATGTTTCCTCTTCAATCAGTCATACCATTGAAAGTAATGTGAATCTTGTATGACATTTAACCCAATAATTTGCCTTTTAATTGAAGCATCCTTCATGTGAGTGTGTTTCCTCTCTTCCTGTGGTCTGTATGGGATTGATGACTTGGGTTACCCTAGACCAGGAGTGCCAATACTTTTTTGGCTTGAGATCTACTTTTTCCAAAGGACAGGTCATCATGATGTACTTAAAAAAATAGAAAAGAAAAAAGATTGGCCTCATCCTTTTTTAAAAGCTTTGACAAGTTTTTAATGCATTTCAGTGGCCTTTATTGATATTCAGCATTACAGGGCAAACGACTGAAAAATCCAGTTTCTCCTTGATGCCCCCAGCCAGCACATCGATGTATTAAATTCCATCACCAGCACATTTGATTTGGTTTGATTAACTGGTAACACTTTATAATAAGGGTACATGAACTGGCAGTAATTAAGGCTTTTACTAATGAATAACTAATCAGAGAGTAATGAGTCATTAATCAGGAACAAATTAATAAGTCATATATTAACAACCACAAGACTAAATTCCTAACGCATGTACTAATGAATGAAGATGAAGGTAATAAAGGCTTTATTCAGTGCCTGAATTTATTAGGAATCCATGTGTTAATTAAGCACACAAAAAGAATGTTAGTACACATTGGCAAACTGCCAGAAGCTTTGTTAGTTTCATTCTGTTCATGCAATTTATGATCACCTATGTCATACTGCAATGTCATACTGTTACAACAGAAACATAAACTGTTGTATGTTTAATAAACTGTAGACTAGTTTATTTACTGAAAATAGGCATTTGATTTAATTAAAACTGTGAATTATCTTAATATATGCCACAGTTATTCTGAGAAATACCACCTTCAGAAAATGAAAATGTGTTTCCATCTATTATTCTTTTTAAAAATTTGCTATATCTAAATGTTTTATTGATGGAAACACAGCATTTTGCAATGTAACACTTCAACTGTTTCCGCAGCTGGAATTACTGCTATTTTTCTTCGCCAGTAAATGGCAGTAATTGCGTTAAATGCTATATATCAGGCGGCCACAGAGACTTGAGTGAATATCTCTAGTACAACGTTTAAGAGCAGCGAATGAAAATAATTGAAATGATTTTTTAAAAATTCAATATTTCTCTTTTCGTCTTTTTGCAATATTTCGCATTTTTCTTACTTTTAAAGGTGAGTTATGCATATGCATACTGTATTATATACGTAATTTACATCTCAGATATAATATTTACACGTGGTATTGTTGTCAGAGTGTTGTGAGTGTTGTGCCTCACCTCTTTTTAGACTAAGGTGTAAAACATGCAGCTGTTATCTGTGGTGAAACAGAACGGATTTGCAGGAACTATTATTTCTAAATTCGTTATAAAGTAGCTTAAATATTTGGTTTGGTGCTTAGTTATTTGCAGTAAACCTTTTTGGTTTTAATAGTAAGGTTTGTGTTTCTCACGAGCGTCATGTGATTGTAGCAGTAATATGTGGCGTCAGGCGCGTCTATTCTGTCTGGTTAAAATCACATGTTAATTTTATGCTGCTTGGTTCATTTATTATTCCTCCTCTGACAGGGACTCTTATTGTGAAGGGCTATGTGTGCAGTGGCAGTGCTTCACAGGGCCTAGTAGTAAACAGACTGAGCCGAGACAACGAGAGGGCACCTAGCGCCATGTTCTCCCCTTTCTTTTGTACTCC